GCCATGTTTCTCTTATTTGGATGTTTGACTCCTCAAAAATCAGAGTGCAACACCTCTAATACAGCCTGCTGCTGTCAAGAAGTGCATTGCACAAGATTTGCAGGCAACTCAGCGTTATCATGCTGGCAGCAGCCCTACCTCAGCCTGAGGCACTGGCTTCATTACATCAGTTCTCTGCCTACACAAACCACAAGCGTGTTCATCCACTTATATCCAAATATATTGTGTGGGACCAGGAAATGCAGTCAGTACCTCCAGGCCGGATTGCTTTACACTGCAGTAGGTAATTTCACGTTTTCTAGAACAAATTGTGAAGACCAGAGGTGTACAACAGAAAAGCATTGAAAGAGAAAGAATTCCAACAAGCACCTGTGGGATATCAAGCTGGGTATTTGGGATTGTCTGATTCTGAACAAAGCAAGATGTATACAAACACACAGCGTTAAGCCCATTTACTGACATAAATGAGAACTGAATCAGGTGTTAAAGCTATCAGTTTGTCTCTCCCAATTAACACAGCATGAAGCACCAGTTGCCAAATTTCACATCCATGAGCTGATCTACTGCACACAGGTGGAGTCATTGCACGCCATTATGGACACTGTATAATAAAGGCAACAATTTGCATTCCCACCATATGATTAATGGAATATGATTCTCACAAACCATATACTTCTATGCATTAACTACCTAGTTCTACATCTGCTTCTATCAACACCAAGAGCAAAAAACCCCTGTTAAATCCATCTTCCATATCTCATTTGGCAAGCAGAAAATAATCTATTTACACTTTGCTGGGGAATGAGATTCAGACCAACATTCTTCCCAGGCTGTTTTGAACTGAATAGCCACATATTTAGAGCATATGAAAGTAGTAGTCTTTTGAAATGGGAAAATATGCAGTTTCCTCCCGAGGCCATAAAAAACAGTGGGAAGGCCAAGATCAGAACAAAGATTTTCTGCTCAGTGTCACAAACTCAAGTTTCCATAAAATGCTGTCTACTAAGAAAGATGCTCAGAACACTTAGGTTGATGTTGGTTGTTAACTTGTGCAGAATTGCTTTGATAGATCAGATTTTCTTCCTCACAATATGTGGTATAGACATTCCTTGAGATGATTTCTAATGGGTACATCATTAATAACTGTCACAATAAAGATATTTTTATATTTAGTAGATATAGATTCTAGCCATCCTTGATTCAGTCTGTGACTTCTTCCTCGGAATAAACTTATTTTTAATTAACATATTTGCAAATGTCAGCACTGCTATAGTAAGTACATGTTTCTGCCTGTGTTTGCTTTACATCTTTATGCTGTATGCAAGACTAACCCAGCATCCTTAATATGTAGCTAATTATCTTGCATGAACTTACAGGCTCCAGTGTGCTTTCCTGTGTTTTTAAGCAACACATGGCCAGTATTGCCCACTGTGATTCAGTGCCAGCTAACAGGCCTCACTGGGTGCAAGACATCCCTCATTTATGGAACAAAGCCAGAAAATCCACTAAGAACTGCACACTATACAGGTTTTTAAATTATTATTTTTAATTTAGGAAAAAAACCTGAGCCCCTTTTCCTTTTTAAATATCTCATTTTCCTGCCAAATGCCAGCATCTACTCTCTGCCTCTGGGGCAGAGTCAATACTGTCAATCAGATGATCAATGGACTATCACAGGCACTTGGCTAACTCTGCAAATCACAACCTGTCCACTCTAATCCTCAGGCCAATTCAACAGCTCTACAACCGTCTGCATCTTACAGCCGAAAATGGCCAATGTGGAATTCTTCTCATTACTGCCGGTTCTTATTAAATCACACAGAAATGACATGCTTCTAAAAAAAAAAAATGAAGGTTTTTTTTCCCCCCCCACAAAGTTATATTTCCCATGAATGCTTTCGTACATCCTTTGTCTAACAGTTTTCATGAAAATGAAAAATATGTATTAAAACACTGCAGACAGTGATGTGTATTACCCATGGGGAATCACACTGCAAAGGTGTTCAGTTAGCTTACTCCAAGTAAGATCCTCACATTCTGCTGGAAAAACCCAAAAACCCACCCTGCCCCCCTCTTTTGTCTCAACTAAGAAGGAACACCGTGAGTTGAAGTACTTAACAGGAGCACTGAAACTTTTTGTTAATGAGACAAGAAGGAATCCAGGGACAGGTACAGACAACACAGAAAAATCCATCTTAACATCGAGCAATATTTACTGTCCTCTTACTACCTGTGCTCTCCTGCCAACATCTCACAGAAAATACAGCTCCAGTCAATTACCAACACCGCCACGTAAAATGGTTTATCACATTTGTTTTCAGGTTTGTACCTTCTGCCAAGTCATCTAACCGAATAAAAGACCTGAATTATAAAACTGCATTCTAGACTGAAAGGAAGATTTAAACTTCTGTGATTGCACATTGTGCGTAGACATTTATTTCAATCCATTCAGATGCTTGCTTAAGAAAGTTTCAGGAAGGGAATAGAAAAGATCAGAAATATCTGATTGTAAACTATATTGCCCTTGATTTCCAGTGTTTCAAAATGGAATTGACCGCAGCGCTACAGATAGGTGTAGTCACTGCATTAATCCACTGAGTTCAGTTCAAGTTTATTATGCTAAATCCACTCCATGAGGATTTTATCTTTTAACTGCACCTTCTTGTGCTCAGTGAGACTTCTATTCATCAAGTATGAGAAGCACATGACTGGCTGGAATTTACCTTTTTCATCATCTTGTACCGAAGTAACCCCACAATGGAGCTGAACAGCTCTGAACTGTTCTTGTTTTAGAGCTTCTCATTATCTATGGAAGATCACAAGCTGAAGGAAAAGGTATGCTGAGCACGCTATTGATTACAGCTATATTTGCTGATTCAATAAGTTGAAATTTCATGTACCAAATATTAAATTACTGAAATTATGTATTGGTTCATCTGCATCCATTTTTTACTCACTTTTATTTAGCTGAACATTTTAATCTTACTTACACAGTGACTAACTAAAAGTAAATGACGCATTCCTAATATTATAAATATGAAAAATAGGGGGTGCTCAGGGACTGCAGTTGAATACATTAAAATCACTCTGTTTGCTAATTAACATATTTCCATCCCTTTTACATACAACCTTTTCCATTCAGTTGATAGACTGCAAATTCACTGCCTTATAAAAAACACTCCCTTGATTTTCTGTTGTGACAGTGGAAATTGCCCAAAATCTGGAAGAGTTTCCCTAAAGGACACCTGCTTGCTGGTACTTCCCAGGTGCCACATAGTCTGAATCAGAGGTGAACATCGTGTCAAATTCCACTCATCTGTCAGTGTAGTGGATTATTTCTTGAGAGACTGAAATTGGCTGCCTGGGATCAGAACACCATCAATCTTGTTCACGTAGGGCGCGGAGATGCTGCTGAGAAAGGCTCGCAAGAGGGAAAGCTGGGCTGTTTCTAAGTAGGTGATGAGGCAGCTGTAAAACCTTCACTCTATCTGCATCTCATCTCTGAGTGAAAGATTTTGTCATATTTCGCATTTCCCCAACGCTTGGTATGCACTCAGCGTCTCACTGTTCTTGCCTCATAAAGGAGGTGATTTTTCAAGCTTAGGCAAATGTTGCAGAGTTCTGAATCTGTCCAGCTCATTTTTTCTCATAATGTCACTTTGTTTCAACCAATTTTGCAAAACAAGATTACATTTTCCCTTTACCTATCTGCTTAGCTGCACCCTTTTTTCTTATTGCCTTCGCTGGAGGACAGATTCAAATAACCAGGAGTAATACTCACAATTGAGTCATAACAAATATTTCTATCATTTCTCTGTAAGTGCCACTCAGACTTCAAAGGCAGCTGGTAAAGATGGTGGTATTAGATGAACTAGTACTATCAGAACTGACCTATCGAAGACTTATGTCTAGTCTTCTGTACTATGCATATTTTATTGCAAGCAAACTGGACTATGCCAAGAAGGATGATCTATGACTCTTACACAAGGGAAATAGCCAGGAAAACTTTGGGTTGCTAAAAATCTGCAGTTCAAGACATGCTCTCTTTGAAGGTAGGTCATTAGATTAAGAAAGATTAAAAAAAAAAATCAAAATTTTCTTTATTAAATATTAAATGATGAATCATCGCAAGTTAACATTTGCCATCTTCAATTTCTTAAGCTCTTAAGAGCTCTCCATTCTGTGGATCTGGATTAGTAATACACCACTCTGAGCCCATCTAAATTCAACCAGATAACACTGCTCTAGAATATGCCAACTCCTCAATTTTTAAACACAGCTCATTCTCTCCTAAGCACAACTAACAGTTGAAAAATTAACGATCAATTTCTACCAATAAAAAACAGAAGTGCAATAAAACTAATGTGCAGCCTCTGCGGATCACGGTGCTAAATGTGTCTGAGCTCTTCAACGCAGACCTGTGGGACTAACTCCAACCTTACATGTGTTTAACTCCATGGGAAGACAAGCCCAAACTCTTTTCTGAGCTGCACATCCCCATTGATTTTGAGAGATAAATTTGAGAATCTTAGAAAAGCTCTCTCTTAAACAACCTCTGGTGAGCAATAGAGACTGAGGAAATGGGGTACCAGCATTCCAAATAGCAAAACCTTGTTCTGTTTGGGTTTGATACTGCAAATAAAGTTACCCAAAACTACTGTCACTATGCCTTTTTGAGTTATACGCTCACTCCAGAACTGCATGAGAAGGAGATAGAAATAAGGACAGAAACTAAACTGTTCTCCAAAAGGAGATTCCCACGTTGGGAAGTTGTTAGAAAACAGCATTTAAAATAAATATTCTGACAGATTGGCAAAGTGCAACACATGTTTGACCAAAAAAAAAAAAAAAATCATGCTCTGTAACATAAAGGCAGTCAACCTAGAAAAGTTAAATGACAAAATGGGTTTTTATGATTATTCAGTCATTCATCAAGATAGACACGAGCATGGCAGAAAGCCTGCAATCTTGGATCAGCTGTGGAATGCTGTCAGTCCTACCTGGTCTGTGCAGGTGATGCTGCTGGAAAGTGTGATGGAGGGATCCCTGACAGAGCAGCATTGCACAGGCACTTATCCACAAATACAGGACCCAGGACATTGCAGAGACCACTGCCATTCTCTAAACAAAATATTAGACAGACATTATTATCCATTGCCTTGCAGCACATAGAATAGTCAGCTTCCATTACAACAGTATTGTTACTTTTCTACTTCTTTTGTTCAAAATCTTTTGTTGCCTGCCTATTCCCCCCCCTGCAGGATGCAATTGTCATACAACAAAGGTCATGTCCAAAAAAGGACAGTTGCTGTAACACTATTCAGGAGCCAGGAGAACTTTAATAATTCAGTAACAAAAATGAAACTGTAATGATCTGAGGACCAGGGGAAAAAAAAAACCCACAACAATAAGGCTGGGAAATTTTCCCCATGCTGGTCCAAAACCTAATTCACAGTTGTAGGAAAAATCAGTTAAAAACACTGATATCCAGACAACATCAAAACTAATATAAATGCCTAATAGATAGGCATGTGATGTTATCAGGCATCAAGGCATTTCAAAAATGTTCCACCCTGAAGACTGGGAGGTTCGTTCTGCCCCAGAAGGTAACAGATTATTGTTTTTTACTTTTGCGAGCATTAATTCTTAATTATGATGCTGTCTGCTAAAGAAAGTAACCGTTTCTCAGAATTATCCTCTAACCCCCAAGTACAACCAGCTTTCTTTTGTTTGACCGGCGTGTGCACAGCCTGGCTGTATCCTGCATTTCATACATTCTCTGTAAAAGCTTTGCTCTTTTTCACAAGGCAGGTGTGTCAAAATTTTACAGAAACTCTTACAGGCAAGGCAAAGAGCACTTTGTTTCTGTCTCCCAGCGCTGACATACTTGGGCATCCAGAACAGGCAATCAAGCATTTCTACACTGTATTCACTATTGTACTAGCTGCCTGAATTTTCCTCTGACTTTTCAACTTCAGCTCTTCCCCAACGCCTGCAAGGATCTGAAGGCTTGCAAGGCTCAGCTACGCTACACATCGTCCAGTTCCCTTAACAACACCTTCTGCTGCATTTCATATTGCTAAATTAATCAAACTTGAGGCACTCTCCTTATTCAGCCAATGACACGATGCCATTTTCTGTCTAATAATCCAATCAGCTGAACATCGTTTTCACAGGGGAAGAAAGACTTTGAGATAAAATCTCTCGCATAGAAAAACCGTGCCTTTACAAATAAAGGTGAAAGTAAGAATTCTGTGTGTTCTGTTGGGGGGTTCTGCAGCAGGAAAATCAGCAGCATGAAAAGAGAAACTCAACATCTATGAAATATACGCAAGAAAATTTTTTCCCCCAAATTTTGAAGGAGTAGACATAGCCTCTGGGTAGCTTTAAGACTAACTGTCAGGAGAGAGCCGCATAAACTGACAAATCTAATTAATAGCAAACAGGAAAACATTGTTTTGATCAGCATGAGACTCTTCCTTCCCCCATTCGGAGTATCTGAAGCACTACTCAGCATATAATTGGTTCCACTGCTGACAATTTACTTCCAGCATACAGCGAACTCTGCTCCTCTCCTCAGACCCACTTCCCTTGCAAAACACATTCTGTCCCCTGAGCTCAGGGTGCTCCCAGCAGGCTCCCCATGCCTGCAGGAATTAATGCCTTTATGCCACATTTGGTGCTCCCATGCTTTTTACACGAGGGAGAGATCACAGGGATGCACACAGGAATGTTTCAGGCATTTAGGTTATTTAAACCAAACTTCTGAAATCCTGGACAAAAAACAAAGCCAAACTTCCACAGTCTGCTAAATGCTCGTGTCAGCCTTCAGGTATCATGTTCCAAACCACATGGACAGCAGACTTCCTTAACCCACTCTCTTTTTCGGTGCTTTCCATCTCTACCTTTTTCAAACCTTTACCAAACTGTTCTACTATACACTACCTTTGCTGAAGCCCCAGCATTTCCTATAAATCTTTCTTCTTACTCTCATTTGTCAGCACTTATGACACACACAGTTCTATGCACAGATCATCTCCTCGTTATTAAGAAACACAGCAGCAAGTATTCCTCCTGTTATTATCTGATGAGTTTCAGATCTGCTTTCTGAATCCTAAATCCTAAAGAAGCTCCTTACCTGAGTAATCCAGCCAAGAGCAGAGCACTCTATTAGTGTTCATTGGAAAGGTCTAACACTTTTTAAAATCCATCTGCACCACAATAAGGGATTTCTAATAGCTTCCCAATAATCTTCTTTATCAGGATTACAAGGGAAAAAAAAAAAAATCTCGTTACAAATCCTGTTCCCAGAGTAAAGACGACATCTGAGCTCTCGGGCACTGCCGTCAGAAAAGTGGCCGAGGTTTGACGGGTGGAAACCTTCTCATTTTCACCTTTAAATCATCTCCTAGCATCACCCTCTGCTTGATGAGACCTCTGAAGCGATCTTGAGACAATTTGCAGCTTCCAGGCTACTTAAAGACGAGGAGCAGTTTGCATTTAAAGACAGAGCAGCTTCACTCCAGTGCAGGCAGTGCAGAGTCGGGCAGCTGTACGTACACTGCTACAGGATGCTGGAAGTACCGGAGCCTATTTCAGTGCATCCCTGCTCAGGAAAGTATCACATGCCTTAAAGTGACACAGCTCCAGATCGCCCAGCACAGTGCTGGGGCTGCGCTGTCCCCAGGCGTCCCCCCACACTTGTTGGTGACAGCGTCGCAGCCCTGAAGCAGCCACTCCTCTGACACACGCGCGTGAGCTCTGCACGCTTGCAGAGCTTTGCTACACCTCGCTGTAAGTGGGGGGGGATGGGGGTGGGGAGGAGGGGAAGTTTTTTCTTCCAGCACTGCCCCTGTACCTCGCGGACAATAGGAAGGAGCCTTGCTTTGATGAAGCTGTTTTTTGTGACAATTATTTGTTACACTTCTTTATTTATTGTCCACATCTGAAGCAGCCATTTACAGGAACGGCGTGGTTTCCTCTCCTTCTTGTACCATGTGTAATTATTTCTTAAAGAGCCACTCTACATCCTCAATGCCATTCACTCTGCTTTATACCTCTCAAGCCCGTCTACAAAAGGAGGAAGGTAAGGAGACAGAACAAACTTCCATTTTAAGAGCTCTGCATGCACACTGTAATACAACACTGTTTTTTTTTTTTCCTCCAACTTAACCTATTGTAGAAAAGCTTTACTACCTTCACTGCTTACCCGCTCCTGACACCAACAATAGCAAGTAACAGCAATAAGTGCCTTTCTTCTCAAGCACCTCACTCTCTGCACCAAGGACAGATGTCTCCGTGGAGACGCTTGCTGAGAGGTGTGACAAGTTTACCTGGTGGTGCACACGCTCCCCTGGAGCCCCTGTGTCATTAGGTAATAAGCACTGAGAGTTTGGCCCCACCAGCACTGCTTTACACAGGTCTCCAGCACAGCGCTCAGAGCAGCTTTTCATTACAGCTTTGCCACAATAAAGCAACAGTGATGTGGGATGAAGTGACACAGGAGGGAAACGCCCCAGGCTGCCACTGCCACAAAACTCCTGGTAGGTCACTTATGGCAAGCCCTACAATGGCCAGAGATGCTTTCAAGAGGTCAGCAATTCTTTCTGGTACTTTTGTGTGGAAATATACGACTCTGGTTTGGTTGGGTACACAATATTCTCCTCAATAAATATTTTCTCATCTTCCCCAAGAATTTCCTTAGATACTGGAAGAAGGCCAAGATCTGGAGCAGTTGCTGGCTTCAGAAAGGTCTAGATATTTCCAAAAGCTGCTGCTAAGAGAAGCAACCAAGACACATTGATTACTGATGTCCAAAGAACCAACCTGGGCCAGACCACAGCAGGAGGTGATGGGCAGAGAGCTGGTGGTTGCAGCAGCCCTGGTTTGCTGCTAAAGCCACAGGGAGGCTCAGTACCTTCCCTCTATCTACAGGAAGATGGAAGCTTTCTGCAGTACCTGAGGGGCAGGTGATGGGAGTTTATTTTAAAATAGCACCTATTTACCAAGATGCATTCCTTCTTGGAAAGGTGATGAAGGGTATAGAATGGGGAGGTGTGAGGCAAGAGGCAGGAGCGGGGCCTCAAGAAGATCTTCTAGGAAAGTAAAAGGCCCCCTGGACAGCAGGAGGAATCAGACAAATTGTTACCACACACCTTGGCAGAGGAGGCAGAGACAGATTTATGCAAGATACAGATTTACATAAGGTACAGCAGAACTGTCACTCTGCCAGGCACTGCTAACTCCCAGCACCATGAGGCTAATGCCACCATAACCCCTGACAGATGCTGCTATTGCTCAGGACAAGCTCTGCAGAAACATGGGACATGTTGCTTTTGTGGGGAAGGAGGGAGATCAGAGGAACAGAAGAGAATATTAAACAGGTTGCACAGTCTCTTCCCCACCCTGGCTAACAGCATTAGCTGGGAACAGGGGCAGCCTTGGCAAATCTTGCAGTACAATCCTCACACCTGTTTTGGTGTTCTTGCTGCCAGTTTTAGCTTTCAGTGGACCAGTAAGACACGAAAAAGCTTCTCTTATTCTGTCTTCAGCTGGGCACACTGTCTTCTTCACCTGGGACTGTGGGGCTTTACTTTTGCCTCCTTGCATCAAGCATCACTGACTTTGACAGGAAGGGGATGCTTCCTTACAAGCACCCATGGGATAGTGTATTGAATTTGGAGATGCTAACACTGACAAGGCCAGAAACAGAAAATATGCAGGAAAATAAGATAGGAGTCAACGGTCTGCACATTTCGAAATCCTTTGTCATAACAAAGAAAGGCTGAAGGAAATTCCTTTCTAGAAGGAAGAGGCAACAAAAGGCTGCACTATCCATCCAGTACAATGGCAGCTCCATCCAGCACTGCAATAGGATGGACCCAGGACCTGCAGTGAGGAGACCAGCCCCTGGGTTACATGGTATCTGCCTGGGAGGGGAAATGGCAAAAAGCAAACACAGGTCAGGGAGAATTGCAGGTTGCTCACCCAGAGGCATCGATCTATAAACAAGATATTGTTTGTCCCAAAGTGTCCTGTAAGTGGGAGTACAGGGAAGCAGGGTGTTCTAAACGCATTCTTGCCCCATCTCCTTCCAGACATTTGGAGAAGCTTGCCATCTGCTCAGCTCAGAACGAAGAAAGGCTTTTTAGGTATGGAAGAGGCCAGGGACAGTGAAGGTGACAGTGCAGTTTTTAACTTATGCTATTTACAGTGAATGCTCTTCTCACATTGGCCTGGTCTTCCCCCCCACTTGGCCCATCCACCTCCACTATGACACCTGATGGCAAACAGAAAAAAAGAACAGAGACCAGGAGTTTTGAGCTACCCTAAACAAAGAGCAATGGAAAACTACCTATCCACTACTCTGATTGAAAAACTCCATGGGGTTGCCAGCAGGGCTGCCAAAAGCAGACTGTTGCACTCAGGCGATATTTCCAAGGTGAAAGTAGGTTGCAAAGGGTCAGCAGGCATCAAACTGCCTTTGAGACAGGCTGCCTTACACAAACAATGATTGTATTCACAAGAAGAATAGCCTTTTCCTCCTGGTTCCACCATTCATCTAAAGATGCCAAGCGGACGACAAAAATAGGCAAATAAAAATAAATGCTCTTCACTCCCCGAGCCTCTATTTATCACAAGTTTCCATGCAGACAGAAAAGGAGAGCATATGCAACTTGGGCAGACTCACACAGACAGCAGATTGGGACTTGCACCCAAACAAGGGCCTCTGGCCTCTATTTTCTCATGCTGCCATCTCTGTTCCTCTCCTCCTCCACAGACGCCTTTGCCCCATGTAGAGATTTAACACAACAAATCCCAAGAGCGTATTTTACAGGGTTTGAAGAAGGCTCAGCACCTTTGAAATGCAAAGCTCATTAGTTCTAGTGCTCCTGGGACAATGAAGCTTTGGTTTTCACAGATTGTGTTCTCCATCTCACCCAGCTGCTTCCACCCACCCTACAAAGCTCTTTCCTATACACCAAAGTGTCATCTGCTGCCCGGGTGACAAGCAGTGCACATTGCAGCTCATGAGTACCTACATGTTCCTACTCCAGGTGAGCCAAGGCAGTCTAACAGTACATTTTATCTTATCTTCACTAGCAGGAAAATGGCAGACTATTTTCTCATGTCCTTGTGGACACTTCCAATTATGGAAGTTATCTTTAAAATCCAACAGAACAGAAGTTTTCCTATCCCACCTCATCACCACAGCAGCTTCCAAGGAAAGCCAGCCCACATGAAGAAATAATTGGGCATATGATGATCAGTATGCACATATGTAATAGTCTGAAAAAGCAGCCATGAGCTCTGAGTAAAAACAGCTAAGAAGCAACCCTCAGCCAGGGCATTTCTTGCTCTTGGCCTCTTCCCACAGGAGAACAGGGAACACAGACACTAACGCAGGATTCTTGCAGGGAAAAGATGAGACCTAGGGACTTCCTAAAACTCATCTGCAAACACAGCTTTGCCAAGAAAAAAAGATGTGAATAAGTTCTGTTTAACACATGAGTGCCTGCAGCAATGTTTGATGTTACATGCAAACTCTTTGCAGTCAGTTAGATGCTCACAGTGGTACTTCACTTCCTTTCCAGTACTTTCTATAAGCCCTCCCCAAAAAACCTCACCTCCACACTTTGTCCAGGCACTTTCCTTTTTAAGCCCCCACTATTTTCATTCCTCTTTTGTGAGGGGCCTGCTCTAATCTTGATGTCTGAACTGAATGCATTTCCTTCTCATGTCTTCTGCGATAGTATTAAATTATTTAGTTTGTATTGACAGGTTTTCTTCTCTTTTAGCTTTTCCAGTGAAAAGAAGATGCAGTGATTTTGCTCATGCGTATCCATGCTGAGCATGAAAATCTCAGCTAGAAAGCTACACTATTTTTCATGAAGGAAGAACATCAAAGAAAGGTTTGGTGATTTGTCTGGCTGTGACCACAGCCTCTACTGGCCAAACAATGAGTCTGCACACACCCAAAGCCTGCAGAAGCAGAGCTGAACAACAGCATGTGCAGGGAAACCATTACCTGTGTGAGCTCAGGAACTGATTGACATGTTATCATACCACATCACAGACAGCATGCCAGGAATTCTGCTCTGTTCCCAATCCACCTATGTAGGCATAGGGGCGTGCTCAAGCATACATTAAGATCAGGGCACAGCACTCAATGGAGAAGCTCTGCTAAGTATAGGAATACCTTGTGGCTCCTTCCCATCATCCTGTCTGTACCACATCCTTGTATCACCCCTCCTTGTTCCTCAGCCATAGCAGCCATGCTTAGTAGAAATTGTTTTTCAGCCTCTCTGAAACACAAAGAAAAGATTCAACCAACAAGATGACACAGCTGGAGCCATTAGAAAGCAAACACAGGAGCACTGCAAGTCACTTTCAATGAAGAGCAACAAAGAATTAAAAATCCAGTGCAAATAGCGATGGAAGGGGGAGAAGAACTGAGAGCAGAGCACAAAAGGAACACTCTCAGAGTTGTTTTTCCTCAGCCTACCTTTAAGGTGCTACTTTTCCTTGTTAAGAAGAGGCCTAGTTTTCACAGTTCCTATGCATGGAAGGCAAAGATTCTGCTTCTTACGTCTTGTGCCAGCTTAAGATAAAAAAGAAAGAAAAGAAGTGAATCTATCTTTGTCAAGGAAATTTATATCAAGAAGTCTGCATCCCAGTTATTTTTAAAGTATATAGAACAATGCACAAAATCAAAACCCCTATCATAATGCAATGGAAAGCACAGCAATGACATCAGAGCAGTAAGGCTCCAAGCTGCAGCAAGTGAGGATTTATTCAAATGCAACAGCTGTAGGTACCAAAAAAAGGAAAGAAGCTGCTTACCTTTAGAAGGCCTCAGGTATGCAGCGACCTACAGCAAGTAACTTCCTTACCTCCACTGCCAACCCCTAAATGAGGTCTGGGAAGGGGTGGATCCTGGCTCCATCCCTTCCATCACTCAGGTACATTGCATGCACCTGAGCTCCCCTGCCTTCTCATCAGGTGCTCAAACACTGGTTCATGACTTTGTATCTCTGCTATGCTTATCTATAACTTGCCTTTAGCCAACAAGATCAGTATTTAAGAGGAATTAACTATGTAGTACATTATCGATAAGCAACGAAATAAGCAAAAAAAATAGCACATAGTATATTGTAAACACAACCACCAAAACACAATCAGGTTCATCACACTATTGCAGGTGAACATAATTACCTTATAATAAGATTTTTGTTTCAGTTATTTTGTTTCAGTTCAGAAAATTTCAAGAAAGAAAAAAAAAACCCAATAACAAAATCTAAGTTAAAGCAGCCCTAGAGAGACGCTGATCATAGTGAACCTGTCAAGTAACAATATTTTTATTTTTTACCAGCTATCCAGCAGCTGAGAGATCATGTTGATCTGAAACATTCAGAATCTCTCACTCTCATTGATTCTCAATGTCTCCATGGCATAAACTCAAGATCCTTCAGCCCCTGCATTCTTACATTAGCCAGTTGAATCCATTAAATGAAGCACTATAGAAATAACCAATTTCTAGGAAAGAACTCTTTCTAGAATTAGCCTGCAGGTTCCCCTCCAGATCAACTAGAACGTTCCATGAAGGTCCAGATACAGCAGCCAAATCAGGGGCCAGGGTACATGGACTGAAAATTAGTGCATCTGTAGTCAGAGAAAACACTTGGTAGTGGGTTAGCCAGCTTCAAGGGATCAAATAGCAGTCTCCAAGCACAAGTTTAGGGCTTACTTTTACTGCTTAAAAGTCAAGTTTTACAGGAAGGTGTAAGTAACTTCTAAATTCAAAACATAAATAAGAGCAATTCAACCAGAACAAAGCAATTGCTATATGCTGGTAGGCAAAGAGCACAGAGAGTTCAGCCACGGTCACTGGGGTGCTTTTGTTCCCTTCAGCTTCGCTACATTGCTAACTTTAAATAAAGCTTAACAAACAATAGGTCTCCATTGTCCCACCCAGCTACAGCAAGACAGACCACTGAGAGCAGCAGGAGAGGCAGGCAGGTACCATGCTGACCACATGGCCCATCCCTGGTCACCCCCAGTTCCTCCCAGAAGATTGCAGAGTGAGGAGGATCTTCCCCAGCTCATCACAAAAGCTAAAAGCACACATTTTCAGCAGTACCCAGAACTTGTTCCTCCAGCCCCAGAAAACTAGATCACCAACCTTAAAATACAGAGGTCTGAGCTCTCAAGCTGGCTTAGGTGTTGTTTCTGACTCCCCCTAACTCTGAAATTTCTTTCTGTAAATTTGTGAGCGTGTTTCTTTACCTCAGTCCTGAAGCAAACTCATCAGCTCAGCCCTCATTCCCAGCAGCTGCACCCCAGCTGGGTCAAGGGAAGCTTTGTGAGCCCAAACACCTCAGCTGCTAATGGGCCACTGTCTGGCACTGGGTCCAGGTGCTCTAATAGCTCCAAAAAAAAACCAAAAAAAAACCAACCAAACAAAAAACCAACCAAACAAAAAGCCATCACACAAAATTTCTTCAGATAGAATAAAACCCTGTGATAACATGCGATCAGTGTGATTTGGAAAGTGCACCAGGGTGGTTGTGCTGTGTGATAGGGAACCCCAAATGAAGCCACTCTATGAGCTCAGTGCCCTTTTCTGCTCTGAGATGCCTCCAGGTCCCATCTCTGTGTGCTCCAGTGTATACAGAGTGCTCATCTCTGCCCAACTCAGAACCCATCCTCAGAAAGAGTTCATTTCACAGACAGAACTGTGCTTGGTAGATATGCAAAAGACAAATCCAAAGAGCCAGTTCTGCTCTTCAGCCTATCACTTGCAAGCTCCATAACTGCAGGTGCTACTCTGAACACTTAGAAGTCAATTTACTCTACATTGGTCTCAGCTGCAGAGGGGTACCAGCCCTGGTGCTGCACCTGGGCATTTAACCAAACAACTAGTTTGCAAACTTGTGTGTTTCTTCCACTTCACCACAAAGTAAACCGATGGTGGAAAACAGTTAGCAATTTCAGAGGGTTCTTTGCTGCCTGCACCTTGTAAGCCAGCTCTTATAATGGATTCACAATGTGATCTTAAAATATGTTTCACTTTATTTCTTAAAAAATGTCCTGGGTTTTGCTGGTGTGGCTTCCGCACCTCTATTTTAGCATGCTTGGAGCACCATGGATTAGAGGTGTTCTGTAAGGCAATTCTGATTATAATTAAGTATGATATTAGCATGAGATACAGTAGACTTGAAAAGATAAAGAAGGCAGGGAGGGAGATGGGGAAGAGAAAAAGGTAAAGAAATGGTAAAACTGAGAAGAAAAAAACCCAGCGTTGGAAAGTAACACAAAAGTCTCCCTTAAAGAGGTGGAAACAAGAAGTTGGGGAAAATTCTTCCAATGGAACAAAAAAAGAAAGTGAGAATCAACACGACTATGTGATATACAGGAGCCAACGGATCCCTGATGCCATCGCTTGGAAGAACACAATACCTTAAGATTTAACTCCCTGTCACTGCCACCAGCCTTGCCATTATTTAAGAAAAATGCTCCAGGCATTCCCTTCCACAGCTCATCTACTTGTTTGCAGGGCTGGGCAGAGTGCTGTGGCCAGAGCCCTGTTTGCTGAACTGCTGCTGGAAAAGAAGAGCTGCCAGATATGAAATTAGTGCGTGAAATGAACATGGAAAAAAATCATATACTGTTCTGCTTTTGCTTCAAAACAGGTTGGTTGATTGACAGCCAACCCTATATAATAATTCCTTCCAGGCAGATGGCAAGATCACGATTTGCTCTTCAGTTGCAATTTTCTGCTGCCTCGCACAAACAACCTAGCTACATGATCTGCCAATAGGAAGGGCCTGGGCTGCTTTGTGTGAGTTTTACAATACTCACATCAAAACATATGGATTAATATTGTGACTAGTTATCGTATTCCATTCTGCAAAAATTTGCCTTGAATTTGCCTCCAACATTTCCTAGCTGATCCTATGTAGATAATAGCTTCAGAAATCCACACAAAAGCAACTTGTAAATTGTTCCACCACTCCTGACAGACAATACTCTTTTGAATGTTTGCGTAGGTGTTGAAAATCTTGCCATACATCTCAAGCTCTCTCAGCACATATTGTTTTTAGGCTGCCATCTGCTAATGCGCAGTTCCACCCTAAGAGAGATGCAGGAGTGCTCCAGCCTCCAGTCTGTTCTGTTTTCAGATTTACTCTTTTATTTCTTCCAATTCCCAACACTCAGCCTGTGCCATTCGTAACCCCGACTGTAGTAATGAAGTTCAAGAGACACATTCACATCACTGCTAATTTTCAGTGATAAAGAACGTTTATTGAGCGGGTATCCAGGCAGTCGTTTTAATGAACCAAAGAAACGCTTCATGCAATTGTGTCCCTGGAAGCAAATTCATTTGTCTCCATGTCATTTGGTATGCATGTGGAGCGGTGTGGGGCTGATCAGGAAGCTTTGAAGCACTCGTTTTCAGCACATGTATATACTAAAAAGCATGTACGGTGTTGGTGGCAAAGGAAGATGACTATGTCCACAGAATTAATGTGTGTAACATCATGAACAAAGCAAGCCATGCATGTCACAGTGCAGAATGCTGGGATTGAATTATCATAGCAAAGAAGGAATTATTAACATTACACTCCACTGATTTTGTTCTTCACTGAAATTGTCAATAGAACTCCTCATCTGACAGCTGATTTTGTTTCACTCCCAAGCACAACTGTAAAATTTATAAGATATTTAATTCTATTTTTGTTTGTTTGTTTGTTTGGAAACAAATTTATAAGGGACAATTTTGGCTAAATGTGCTACGCGGGATCTGTCACTAAAATATAGTGGAAGCTACAAATTTAACTCTAGGAAACTGAGGAGTATGTTATCACTTGCTAGCTGAAATTTATCTGCTTTGATCCTTTTTTATATTCCTCTTCTCCCACACATCCCTTTTACTACCTCACCTTCTTTTCAGGTTTTCAAAGATTTTGTTGTCATTTGCTTCTGAATAAAATACTACATTTTGTTGGCATTGTAGGCTCTGTACATCAAATTGTTGTTCATGTCATACTGAATTCTGTGCGGCAAGTAGAGAAGTCAGAACAAATGAGCATACATAATGGCACAGAAATCTTTCCATGTTGCTTGCAAAACATGAACATGAATAGAGAGGGTCAAGGTAAGAAAACAGAGATCGGAAAATGAAAATATAAACAGATATGTGTTTAAAGGAAGCTTACCTAGTAGGTCTGCTTTTTTCCCCCAGTGCTTGCAGTGATTCTCCCCCATTTTCTTCATTATACAAAAACGGTATGGCAGACTTAGGTTATATGTTTCCCTTGGTTCTAGTAATGAGAGTAAATCAGAAAAATCTTTTCTATGAAAAAAATTTAAATTTACATCTAAGCAAAAGTGGTAGTTTTTGTTTCTTCTATCTGTGCACCAGCAAAAGACTGCAGCCCTTTTTTTACAAGCTTTTGGCTGCTAGAGGCATAAACTCTCTCTCCAAAGTATGACAGATGAATTCTCACACCATGAAGTATGATACCTTTCAGAGAGCCTGAAAGCGACTAATAGACTTTCAGGAAAATGCTGAAAATTAGCTTAATGTTGCATAAATAAAGATATTTATGCAACCTGGAATGAAATTTCACCATGAGTAGAAAACTAAGCCCTACTTACAGTACCAAAACTGCCTTCTGACAGTTTACATTGCTTTAACGGAGTTGGGGTCATTTGTTGGCCTTCTCAATCTCAGCTGATAGAGTCGCCATAGCAAGATGTTAAATATGAATCATTTCCCAGGCAGCATAATATCCATTTGGCTCCTCATTCCACTTCCCACAGGGGGCTGAAAAATGTTAAACTGTTCTCTTCACAATTAAATTCATGAAACACTTAAATTCTAT